TTTTATAGGCAAGATTATTGAAAAGGTAGTCTTTAATCAGCTGAACAAATACTTAAACTCAAATGGATACCTGGACAATTTTCAATCTGGTTTCCGACCGCATCACAGCACAGAGACAGCGCTCATTAAGATAATAAATGATATTCGCTTAAATTCTGATTCTGGCAAAATATCAGTGCTGGTACTGTCTAGATCTCAGTGCTGCGTTTGACACGGTCGATCATAACATACTTCTAGAGAGACTGGAAAACTGGGTCAGGCTTTTGGGGATGGAAATCAAATGGTTCAGGCCATACCTAGAAGGGAGAGGTTATTATGTGAGTATAGGAGAGCATAAGTCTAAGTGGACATCCATGACATGCGGAGTCCCACAAGGCTCAATTATTGCACCGCTCTTGTTTAGCCTGTATATGCTCCCACTAAGTCAAATAATGAGAAAAAACCAAATTGCCTATCACAGCTATGCAGATGATACCCAGATTTACCTAGCCTTATCACCAAATGACTACAGCCCCATTGACTCCCACTGCCAATGCATTGATGAAATTAACAGTTGGATGTGCGAGAACTTTCTTCAGTTAAACAAAGAAAAAACCGAAGTCATTGCATTTGGAAACAAAGACGAAGTTCTCAAGGTGAATGCATACCTTGACTCTAGGGGTCTAACAACTAAAAATCAAGTCAGGAATCTTGGTGTGATTCTGGAGACAGACCTTAGTTTCAGTAGTCATGTCAAAGCTGTAACTAAATCAGCATACTATCATCTCAAAAACATTGCAAGAATTAGAGGTTTTGTTTCCAGTCAAGACTTGGAGAAACTTGTTCATGCCTTTATCACCAGCAGGATTCATTTCTTTTATGTAAAGCACTTTGCCATTGTGTATGAAATGTGCTATATAAATAAACTTGCCTTGCCTTAATTCCACTATGTGGAGTTTACAAGTGTATCATGGTAATTCTATTAGGTAATTTAAGATATTCTGGCTGCTCACAAATTACAAGGTTGCTGCAATATATAGCCAAGACATGCTATAAACTAAGTGAAGTTTACACTTAAAGGGTTAGTTCACCCAAAAATGAAATCATACGCACGTTCACGAGAGAGTGGCGTCCAGTGGATGACATAGGCAAACGTGGTGACGAATGTGGAAGTGACGAGCTTGGAAGCGCAGAGGAGAGAGCAAAACAAAACACCGGTCACGAATTAGTAGTACAAAATGAGGATTTGTAAAGAAAAATGTCTGAGGATTTCGATATAAGTCAAGAGGACACAGGTTTTCCTTTGCTGTAAACAAGACTTGGTTCTCGCGAGACTAGCATATTATAACCGGAGCTACAGATTAAGGTTTAAATATGGATATTTTTCTTTCACAAACGCATCACTTCGCTTCAGAAGGCCTTTATTAACCCCCCAGAGCTGTGTGGACTTCTTTTATAATGGATGGGTGCAATTTTTTGGACTTCAAATTTTGGGCTGCCATCCACTCCCATTATAAAGCATGGATTAGCCTGGACATTATTTAATATTACTCCGATTATATTCGTCTGAAAGAAGAATGTCATATACACCTAGGATGGCTTGAGGGTGAGTAAATCATGGGGTAATTTAAATTTTTGGGTGAACTATCCCTTTAATAGTTTTTGATTGTAGGCATTTGAAAAAACAATACTTGAAGATGAAGGGTTAATCAGATTTAATGCAATGTGTCTGTTCCAAAAAACAAGTTAGTCTCACTTGAGCTAATAAAATATTCTTTTAACTTAGTGCAATGACTTGTGTGTGGCTAATGTCAAATAGGGCTGGGAATACATATCTGGATCAGAATAAAAAAAAAAAACATGAAGCTCTTTAGTTCACAAAACCATTAGTTATAGAAACACTAATATTTTTTTCACATAAATAGCCTATTTAACAGTCAAATAGTCGTTTATCTGAAATAAAGAGATGCAGTAGATAACTTAAAAAAAACAACAACAACAGTAAAAACAATTGCCATTTGAGTATCAAACACTGGTACTCTAATAGGACAGCCAAAGGCTGGAATTAGAGGTCTGCATTCCTGCGACCCGACCGGATTTTTTGCGCCGCAGGATTAAATTCCCGAATAAAAGAGAAGGGTCTGGCTGCAGCCTTGCACTTGCACTCTCAGACTTGCACTCTCAGACACTTGCGCTTCTGCTAGCGACGTCACTTGCAGTCTTAAATTTTGTAATTTTGTTCTATTTATTGATTACTTTTTGTTTGAATTTCTCATTGTACAACAGTAGCCAGGTGGTGAAGACAAGAAAAAATAAACTAAATTACAATCGTCACTTGCACTCTCCGCTACCTGCGACGTCACTTGCAATCGACACAAATCGTGTGTGTTGCCAATGGAGACAAGACACTGGTGGTGATTAAACAATTAAAACTAATTTAGTACTATAACATACAGGGTCCTGCAAGAAAAAAAAAGAAAGACCCGCAAATCCGTCGCCACAGAACAGCAGAATATGAACGCAATGCACAAAGTCTCTCGTTAAGCGTTTTCCTACTGTAGAAAAACAAACACTTAACAATGTATTAAGATACATTAAGTTCAATTAAAAAATCTAATTCGATATATAGTTATTATTTAATGTACTACAAGGCAAACAGATGGCTATGAACACAATGCGCAAACTTTCACTTGTCCTCCCATACAGCAAAACACTTAATGTGGCATAATAACGGACTATGATAAAGACAATACAGTAGCCTATATGTCTTGTTGTTGACTCACTTTTTTTCATATTTGTTGTTACAGACCAACAAATATGAATGTGCATTTTGAAATGCATTAAGTGATTTTAAAAGGATCAACTCCGTACAGGAAAGCAGACGAGCCCAAAACGCAATGCATTAAATTGCACGTTAAACATTTTCCTCCTATAGAAAATCATTATAAATAAAACACGTAATGTAGCTTAATGGACAAAGACAATGATATAAAAGAGCTGTAGACAGTTTATTCTATATGGAAAAACGCTTAACACGAAACTATGCGTGTTGCGTTTATTCTGGGCTCACCTGCACATATTAGTTAGCCATTGTATATTAATAATGTAGAGGAGCATATTGAGAGTTTGGCCTTTTTAGTCCATTATGCCATGTTTTGCGGTATGGGAGGAAAATATTATATACATATTCATTATAATAATAAACTGTATATTTAATTTGATATTTTAATAGCATCTTAATACATTACACCATGTTAAGGGTTTGTGTTTTTCTACAGGAGGAAAATGCTTAACGAGAGACTTTGTGCATTGCGTTCATATTCTGCTGTTCTGTGGCCACCGATTTGTGGGTCTTTTTTTCTTTCTTGCAGGACTCTGTAGGTTACGGTACTAAATTAGTTTTAATCGTTTAATCACCACAGTGTCTTGTCTCCATTGGCAACACACACACGATTTGTGTCGATTGCACGTGACGTCGCAGGTATCGGAGAGTGCAAGTGGCTTTGTAATTTAGTTTCTTTTTTCTTGTCTTCACCACCTGGCTACTACTGTAAAATGTTGAGAGATTCAAACAAAAAGGAATAAAAATAGAACAAAATAAAAAATAAAGACTGCAAGTGACGTCGCTAGCGGAAGCGCAAGTGTCTGAGAGTGCAAGTCTGAGAATGCAAGTGCAAGGCTGCAGCCAGACCAGATTTTGGAATAAAACGCGGTAGCGGTCGATAACTCGTGTAATTTGAACGGGAGCGGCCGGTCTAACAATATCCCGTTCCCAAAGTCCATTCAGAACAGCATATCTGCGCTTTATTCTTATTGACCACCGGTACAGCCTGCACTTGGGACAGTTATGCATGCGCTGCACGCATGATTTTACCGTCACATGTTTTATTTGCGGGGGTCTGTGTGCAGCATGTGCATAACGATGTTCAGAGCAGGCTGTACCGGTGATAAATATATGGCCCTCAGACAGAACAGGCAGGCTGTCGATGAGTGACAGAGCAGAATAAGGATGGAGCAAAGTGTGGATGCGCTGTCCTTGAAGGACGTTCAACTCTGTTTTGTTTATATTTTGCTTAGCCTATAATTTTAAAGGAAAGTGTCATATTTATTAAATTTTTTCTGCAACACTTTTCCTACTGTGTTAACAGAAAAATGTCAAAAGAATTTAGTATTTTGAAAAGACAAATGCAAATAGATAATAGGCTATTTTTTATTTACATTATTACTTGCAGTATTTTTTTTTTCTCTCTGCTACACTTTTTCCCTATTGTGTTGTCAATGTTAAACGAACTGTATCCTGACAAGACGAATAAAAATAAGAAATACAATTTTTGTACATTTTTATTTTCTCTGACACTTTTTTCCTACTATGTTGCATAAAATATTAAACAAATTTTGTGTTTTAAGATAATTCATATAAATTCAAGTCAAAGTCAATAAATTCAAGACTCTTGACAAGACAATTTTGTGCAGACTACACTTTTATTTGTCAGCCTCTCTCTCTTTCTTTCAGTAGCAGACATTTAAATGTGAGATTCTGGAAACGAGATCTACATTTAGCGGGAATGGTCGGGTCAGGATGAAAATTATTCTAAGCGGACAGCGGGTGAACAGAGTGAATATATAGCAGGAGTGGGTGGGTGCGGAACAGAATAGAACCTTGCGGGAGCGAGACTAAAAAAACAGTCCCGCGCAGACCTCTAGCTGGAATACACTACATGACTTTTAAAATCTGAACAGATTTTACAAACTCTGGGCATCATACACTTACCTACTTCGTAAATAGTGACAAAGGAAAACTGTCCATCATACACTACACAACTGAGGATCACACACTACCAGAAGTTGTTCCGATCACAACAAACTCACACAGAAACGTGCGCCTTGTTGCTAGGAGATGAGTGACAAATGAAAACAACCCATGCTCTAAAATCGGCTCAAAATATCAAACATGTTTGATATCCTCCCTCTGGATGGAATCAAAGTCTGAAGCTAAAAAAATCGGAGTCTGTGACCATCAAACACTACACGATTTTCTATTAAATCTTTCAACTCAAATCTGCAGAGTGGCTCTGACTTTCGGCAACTAATGTCAACTCCTTCAGACTGTAAATCGGTGGAAAATCGGGGCAAAAATCGTGTAGTGTATTCCAGCCTTAAGGTAACTCGAAATGTTCTAACCGAACCATGTGACACAGGACAGCGTTAGGATTGCAGCCTTACTTGTAACTTACTGTAACAAAGAAAACGTCTCGGGTTACTCACATTACCCATGTTCTCTGAATAGAGAACGAGATGCTGCGTAGCCCATATGCAATGGGAATGCCCCTTGGGTGTGCCGATTATCTGAAGCCCATATGGAGTCACACCAATTCATTGGCTGATGGCTCGGATGCCACTACGTCACCCACTCTAATACTAGTTAACCAGGAGCAGCATCTAAATCCAAGCTATAAAACCTGATAAAAGGACCATCCTGCTACCACACAGATATCCTCCAGGGGAACTCCTGACACAGAGATCAGGAACGACCCGATGAAGCTGAAGCCGTGGGTTTATCTGAGCGCTTCAGCTCAATCCGCTTATGTGGGTGCTAACGGGTGCTTATGAACTGCTTAAGGGCAGCCGACTGAGTCTTGGCAGCACAGAATTTGTCCATCACCGAGCTAACCGCCTCGCCGAACAATCCCGACTGCGAGATGTGGGCATTGAGGAGAAAAACTTTCCCCTTCTCACTTATTTCCGTGAGATTTAGCCAGAAGTGGTGCTCGGCAGCCACCAGCCCCGCCATTGTACGCCCAACTGCGCGTGCAGTGTGCTTAGTTACATGCAGCGCCATGTCCGTAGCCCTATGGAGCTTTTTGACCGCTTCTGGAGTCAGGGCCCCCCCCCTCGTCCATCTCCTTCTGGACATCAGCTTGATAAGCCTGAAGGATGGCCATGGTGTGAAAAACGACACGGTTTATCCGGCCACTCAAGATTAAGCTTTTCGGTAGCACACGCCAACACGTCCACTAGCTCAGTAAAGGCCGTAGAAGGCCACGCCTCCAGGCCTCTAGGCGGGAGAGCGTCGACTGAAGCGGGCCCGAAATCTTAAGAGTCGGCTGCCATGGTGTACAAAATATAATAAAACCCAAAGGAGCTGGGACATAAATAATCGTGGACAACTCCACCGGCGAATCCGTGCGAGAGCACTCAGGCGAGAGAGGGAGAGAAAAGGCGAGGCCCGTCTTCTCACTCTCTATAGCCTCCAGCTCCATATCCGAACCCCAGGAGGCGAATTCACGGAGGGCCTCAGCAGCAGTACAATGGGGGATAATGGATGAGTCCTTCTCAAAAAACCGCAAGCCTCACGCAAAGTTTTGAGATAGAGATTCTCACAAAATTTACAGTTAGAAGTGCCGTAAAAAGCCTCGCACGTGAGAAAAACCCATACATTCAACACACTTACTGTGCGGGTTGTCGCTAATAAGCCAAAACATGAGCCAGATAAATCGCTTCTGAAGGGCTAAATGACCGCTTCTGAAGGAAGAAAATCTGAGGAGCGGATGGCGTGGTCACTAGTGTTAGAGTGGGTGATGTAGTGGCATTGAGGTGGCGCCCATGCCATTGGCATGATTCCATTACGGCTTCAGACAATCGGCACACCCAAGGGGCGTTCCCATTGCGTCATAGCTATGCAGCGTTGAGTGAAACTATGAAAGAGAACACCTTCCTCTGTATTGAGCTATTCTAATAGTGACCAAAACCAGTTAAACTACAGCAAACTGTGAAGAGCATGCAGATTATTGTCTTAGGTTCCATTGGGTGGGCTCCACTTCAAGGCCGTAGAGTCAATAGTCTTGTTGCTTCCACGTTTTGCCTCTTTGGTTTTCCAATCATCAATCAGATCCTAAAAATCATTCAACCATTTAAATGCATTAAAAACAATTTTATAAAAATAACAAACTTGTAATTAATGTAAACAGTCTGTTGCTAAACTACATGCATTACAATAACATTTACCTGTCTTTTTAGGATCAGATGCTTCCCTTTCCAGTACTTCAGCATCTGGAGTGACTGTAAAGTGCTGACAATGTCTACAGGGTTGACAGCTGTTTCTTGGCTGATTTCTGCTCCCAAGTGTTCAAATATGACAAAGAATGAAAAAATTATTCATACTATTAAATGTTACAATCATAAATGGAAAAGGAAGACAAAGGAACACCGTTCAAAAGTTTATGGTCTGTAAGATGTTTTTGAAAGAAGTCTTATGCTCACCAAGGCTGCATATTTATTTGATCACAAATACAGTAAATAGTGAAATATTATTGCAATTTAAAATGACTGTTTTCTGTATGAATACATTTTAAATGTAATTGATTTACTCCAGTCTTCAGTGTCACATGATTCTTCAGAAATCATTCTAATATGTTGATTTGCTGCTCAAGAAACATTTCTTATTTATGCTGCTAAAAATTTTGTGGAAACCATGATACATTTTTTCAGGATTATTTGATGAATAAAAAGAATACAATATAAATCTTTTGTAACATTATAAATGTCTTCATTGTCACCTTTGATCAATTGAATGCATTTTTGCCAAATAAAATAATTAATTTTTAAATAATTAATAAAAAAATCTTACAAACCTTAAAAAAAGAAGTAACCTTTAAAGAAGTGAACATAACACTAAGGACCTTTAATGGAGATCTCTTTGCCCTGGAAGTTGTGCAGGTAGCGCAGGAGCACTTCTTTCCAGTAACTCCTGTAACTGATGAGTCCCAGGTCAGAGAGAGGCCGTTCAGGGGAGCCAACCTTCTCCTCTACTTTGGACAGCAAATAACCTGTGCAGACACAAGCCATTCACACCTTAACACGTTCATGTCTTCCATTAATTGCGGCATCAAAAAGTGCACAGGACCAGATAGTAAATGAGCTATTCCAACATGTTCTTAAGGTTTTTTTAAGACAAAATGACAATTGTAACTTTAACATCACCATTTGCAATCTTGTTAAAGCTTAACACAGTAATGACAACTAACAGCTATAAAAAGTATCCAAATGATCTAGATCTACTGAACTCACTGAAATCAATCAGCATCTTGCCATAACCCTGCCTCATATACTGTGGCATGGTCAGGATACAGGAGACATTGTAGTTCAGGAATGAATTCTTTTCCTAAACCCAGATATGTATTTAGATTACTACAAAATAATCACTTGCAAGGTAACTGAAGCTTAAGGTGCACTGGAGTAACTAACAGAGTACCTTGGAGAAGTATCCTACAAGATGGCAGCCGGTATTGTCCGCTTCAGTCATCACATAGAAGAGGAACGGCTCCACATCGTAGTACAAAGTTTTATGGTCCAGGAAGAGTTTGGCAAGGAGGCACAAGTTTTGACAATAAATCTGCAAAAGGCAAATGACAGTGTCAAAGCAGAATCAGGTACTGATTGCAATTTACTGACCTGCAGATAACAATACAAAAGTTGTTAAATAAAATAAAGAGTCCTTTTGGAATCTCTTTGTTCTTGCCTTGTTCTTCTTGCCGTCCACTTCAAAAACAGATATAACCCCTTTCCTGTAAATCTCATCACCTGGTGGATGTTTCCACACACATTTGGCCTGATTGAAAATGAAATAAGAAAGGCGTATGTGTGAATGCAAAAACACACTCCTATCAACATTATGATTCAAGGCTGGACAAAACTTAAGAATCAGAAATGAAGAATTTAGAAGTTTGAAAATTGATTGAACATGTTGAACGAGTTACCATGTGACGTCGCAGAATGGTCTGACTCTTCATGTATTTGAGGCAGAACTCACACATGTAGAGGCGGCCGAGGCGGGCGTACTCTTCGGGGTATGGCGAGTGGTACCAGGTGTCCAACTCATAGCGGCCAAACACAATGGCCTTTATCATGTTGCCGCCCTCCGTGACCTGTCCCTGCAGCCGAAGTTTTTCCTGCAAGGACCAATGAAGGGTGGGAGAAACACAGGTCTGACTGGAGGGAATGACGACACAGAGATAGAAGGAAAAAATTCTGAAGCCTACCGCTCAAGATTCATTCATGAATGAGGAGGTTGAGGACGAGATCGAGAGATACAATACTATTATAAAGTTTGGGGACCGTAAGATTTTTTTTTTTTTGAAAGAAAGAAATAAATAAAAACTTTTATTCAGCAAGGATGCATTAAATTGATCAAAAGTTACCGTAAATACATTGATAATGTTACAAATGATTTCTATTTAAAATAAATGCTGTTTCTTTAAACTTTCTATTTATCAAAGAATTCATGTGACACCGAAGACTGGAGTAATGTCTGCTAAAAATTCAGCTTTGCCATCACAGGAATAAGTTGCAATATGTTAAAATAGTTAACAGTTATTTTAACAGTTCTAAATGCAGCTTTGGTGAACATAAGATACTTCTTTAAAGAACCTTAAATAATACTGATCCTCAAACTTTTGAATGTTAGATTAAAAGTTAAGATAGAAATGAGCTGGAGAAAATAAGGTGAATTAATGTCTACTCAAGATTATTGTTCCCTTTCAAGGGAACTTTGAACTGCGTCCTCTAAGGGTCGCGGTGGGGAACGCCTCGTCGTGACCCGTGTCTGAAGCATACATTGAAAAAAACACCAACAACACGTTGGCCGGCGGCAGCCATGACGTCACTACCGGTGTGACTATAGTATACATTTTTAGTATAAAAGTTTTGTTTGAAGCGTGCATTTCTGTGGTAAGAGCAATCTCTATTCATATCATTATGGCGAGCACTATCAAAGTGTTTAGAGGATGTGTGCATCCGTGTCGTCGTTATTTGACATCTGATGACACACACAATCTATGCGTTGTTTGTTTGGGTGAAGAGCACGCACGCAATGTCCTCGAGTGGGCAATTGGCGTGCACTGTGAGCGTTTTCCAATGAAAAAGCTCCGCTCTCGTTTGTCTCTTTTTTCGAGGAAAGAGGGGCAGCCATCTGCTTCCCGCGATTCAGGCCCCGCCACTGCTGAGGCACGGAGGAGAATGAGTTTGTGGGGATCGCAGGTCGATCTGGCTGATGAGTTTAAAGAGGGGTTTTCCCTCTCGCGACCATCGGCTGTGGACGAGAGTGAGCCACTGGAGGATGATGTTATTTCATTAACATCGTCTGATCCAGGGGCCAGTGCTCTGCTGAGTTCAGCCCAGGAAGAGCAGGAAATGTCTGAGGAGAGCTGAGGTTGAGCCTTCCCAATCCTCCTGCCCTGCGTATGATGAGCTTTTGGAGGAAGTTATGGATTGCACCACGGCGAGGCTTGACTTGCCGTGGAAGCGGGCAAAGAAAGTGACGTTGTGAGGTCATCTCGATGAACGTTATCTTTCTGGCCATAACCCTCCAGCTCAGGTGAGCCTTCCTTTCTTCCTGATATCCATACAGAGATTGAGAAGGAATGGAAGAGGTCGTTTTTTCTCACGCATCCATCGATTCCAGCATACGAGTTATGCGCGAAAACAGCTATGAGAAGATGCCCCCTATAGAGAGACGCTGGCCAGCTATCTCTCTATGGGTGAGACGTCATCTCTTAAGACTCCCTCCTTGCCATCTAAGCCCCTTCAGGATACATCTCGCTTGAATGGCAGGGCATACGCAGCAGCAGCAGGTCAGGCTGTCGCTTCATTGCACACGAAGGTGGTGCTCCAGGCATATCAGGCTGACCTGCTGAAAGACCGGGATAAAAGCGAGGGCCTTTCTCCTGATGAGGTAGCTGAGTTGCGCCGCACCACGGATCTCGCTCTCCGTGCTACTAATCAGGCCGCCTCTGCTATGGGCAGGTCCATGGCGGCTATGGTAGTGACGAAGAGACATCTGTGGGTGAACCTGGCAGACATCGGGAAGAAAGAGAGGGGCTTTCTTCTCGATGCTCCGGTTTCGCCTTCCGAACTTTTTGGTACCTCCTTTGAGACGGTGGTCGAGAAGTTCAGGTAGGAAAAGGCACGCGCTCAGCGGCCTTCAAATCCTTCATTCCACGAAGGTCCAGGTCTGAGCCCGAACAACCCAGGGGTCCTGGCCTGTCTCAGTTTGAGGATCAGAGACGGGCACAGAAGGCTAGTGTCGCGGCTCCCGCTCCCCCCCCCCCCGCGGGGGGGGGGGGGGGGGAGAGCGGGGGCAAGGGGGGG